CAGAATGTTCCCTACAGACACCATGCCTTACTCAGGTTGGGGCACCATGTTCCCCCACAACTCTCTCCCACATTTATGTTTCAAGCTGAAACTAGGAATGGGATTGCCAAGTCCCACAGGGGTGGAAATTAATTCCTGTTTTAAATGCGATACTCGGGCAGAGTGCCACTTCCCTGGGCTGTGCGGTGGCTGATGCTGCCCCATGACCCCCCTGGTACTGGCTGGAGAGAGACCTGTACAAGCTCAGCCTCGGTAATGACCAGCAGGTGAGAATCTCCGCATCTTGTTAGAGCTCAGAGGCTGGAGGGAAAATGCAGCCACATGTCCTGGGTGTTTCCTGCAGTCTCCACAGGTCCTGCTGGGACACCTCTGCCCCAGCAGGAAGTCTGCCCGGGTCCGAGGAACTGCAGGGTCTACTCGATTTGTGTGGTTTCTACTCCAAAGGTTCTCTGCTAATTAGTTAAAGCCTTGCTCTACATTGAATTGAGAAGCCAAGTTTCCTTGCAAGAAAAATGCCTCTTTCTTTTCTTTTTCATCTGAGCAGAAGATCTGAAAATATAAAATATATCTATATCTGAGGATCCACTGAGCAGTTCCCTAGGGTGAGTGGCAGGACCTGCAGAAGGAAGGCAGGAGGCTGGGCTTGGCTTTGAACTTCTGTGAAGTGGAGAGGAGGGCAGGAAAGCTGCCCGGGAGAGCAGGCAGTCCTCCCTTACACAGTGTGGTGGGAAGGTGTGGGAGGCAGATGCCAAACAGAGCTCACCCAGGATCTGGCCTCTGCTTATCTGCCTAGAACCTGGCTGTCTGTAGCAAACTGGGGTGGCTTCTGAATCACAAGCAGTTAAATGTTACACTGAGAATGATATGCTATTTTATAAAAGGAATTCAAGCCCGGCTGGCATGGCTCAGTGGTTGAGCATCGACCTATGAACCAGAAGGTCATGGTTCGGTCCCTGGTCAGGGCACATGCCTGGGTTGTGGGCTCAGTCTCCCAGTGTGGGGTATGCAGGAGGCAGCCTATCAATGCTTCTCTCTCATCATTGATGTTTCTATCTATCCCTTCCTCTCTGAAATCAATAAAAATATTTTTTAAAAGATAAATAAAAAAGGAATTCAAGTCCTATAGTTCACATACAGCCGCTCAATCCTGACATCTCTCATGTTGTCCCCAGTCTTCAGTCTCAGGGATGTAATTTTTTGGGGGCCCCTCTGTAGATCAAAATGAGTTACACAGGAAGGCAACAGCAGTAGGAAGTAATGTTGAAAGACAAATACATAGTATCAGTTTTTACTCCTTTTTTCCTTTTAAACAAATGGGGTACTGTCCCTTTGTTGAGTGTTATGGGTTCAATTGTGTCCCCCCAAATTCCTAGGTTGAATCCCTAGCCCGCACTGCCTCAGTCAGGACAGCATTTGGAGACAGAGCCTTTAAAGAGGTGATTGGGGGTTCAAATGAGCCATTAGGGGGTGTCCTGATCCAATCTGACTGGTGTCCTTACAAGAAGAGGAGATTTGGACACACACAGGGACACTAAGGATCCATGCACATAGAGGAAAGACCATGTGAGGACCCAGGGGCAGGCAGCTGTCTACAAATCCAGGAGAGAGGCCGCAGGAAAAACCAACCCTGCAGACACTGGATTCCAGCCTCCACAACTGTGAGAAAACGCGTGTCCACTGTGTGAGCCACCCAGACTGGGGCACTCTGTGACAGCAGCCCTAGCAAAATGACATGATGAGAAGTGGAGCACTAAAACCCTCATGTGAACATACAGAGCTGCCAGCCTCGGGCGGTACCCAGCTACACCCCAGCCCTCTATTCAGGGTGCGTGTCAAGGGGACCTCAGCTTTCAGTGGATTTACCATTGTAACTGACATTACGATTGCAACTCCAGTAAATTCAGAAGTATTAACACAGTATGACTGGGAATATTGGAAAGCGTAAGCCAACGCATCCCTATGTGTGCATGGCAGGTCACTTACTTCCGGCTCTGGCACCTGGCTTTTGATGCATCCATGGCTGGGACGTCGATACATCAATCAACGGGGGGACATTTCAACTTAGTTTTTATTTTATATATTTTTTGTTAATCCTCACCTGAGGATATTTTTTTCCACTCACGCTCAGGGAGAGTGGAAGGAAGGAGGAGAGACAGAGAGAGAAACATTGATGTGAAAGACACACATTGACTGGTTGCCTCCTGCACATGCCCCAACAGGGGATAGAGCCTGCAACACAATTATGAGCCCTTGACCAGAATTGAACCCGAGACTCTTCAGTCCTCCGGCTGATGCTCTGATCACTGGGTTTCAGCTGGAGCTTCCAACATAGACAGAACCCTCAGTCTCAATTTCCTGGTCCAGCCATTTGCATCCCTCAACTCATGCAGCTTCCCTCCATCTGATTCAAGCTCCAAGTAACAGCTGAAGATTCTGATAATACTCCCAGCTCAATTCTCCCTATCCACTCCACACTGATGTTCGCCCAAAAATTTCACAAGCAGTGCTCTAGGCATCATTTGATAAATAAATGAGACCAGCCTACAACTGGCCCTTCCCACCAGTCCTCTCAGATTTGTAATTTCTCCCCAATTCACTCTTATATATTGTCCTTACTTGTCTACGAGGTAAGACCCACCAACTCCAAACTCTACAGAGCATTCTTAAAAAAAGAAAAGAAAAAAAAAATATATATATAATTGATTTCAGAGAGGAAGGGAGAGGGATAGACACATCAATGATGAGAGAGAATCATTGATTGGCTGCCTCCTACACACCCCCTACTGGGGTTGTGCCCGCAACCAAGGTACATGCCCTTGACCGGAATTGAACCTGGGACCCTTCAGTCCACAGGCTGACTGCTCTATCCATTGC